GTACTGCAGCATCGTGTACTGGATGACGGCACAGCCTCCGGACGCCGGCCGTTTCTTCCTCTTCCTGTCTCTGGGCGTTCTCACCTCTCTGGTGGCTCAGAGTTTGGGTCTGCTGATTGGTGCTGCCTCCACCTCGCTGCAGGTTGGCCCCGCCCCCTCACCTGTGCATGCGTCTGTGTGTTCACCTGTCGCTCAGGTGTGTTTGTTCCTGCAGGTGGCCACATTTGTGGGTCCGGTCACTGCGATCCCGGTTCTGCTGTTCTCTGGGTTCTTCGTCAGCTTTGACACCATCCCCTGGTACCTGCAGTGGATGTCCTACATCTCCTACGTCAGGTGGGGGCGCTGTTTGACCACAGAGAACACAAGAAAACCTCACACATTGTTACGTTACGTTCATAAAAGAAACTAATTCAATAAAACAAAACTAATAGAATAAAATTAAACTAATAAAATAAAATAAAGAAAAACTAAATCGATAAAGAATTAAGAAAAATAAAAACTATAAAATAAATAAAATAAAACAAAGAAACGAACACGATAGCGGAACTGATATAGTTCCTGCTATTGAGGAAGTAATGACATGATTGTTGAGTGTCCCTCATGCAGGTGTTTCTGTTTGTATGTTTGTGTTTTCTGCTCCAGTCTTTTCTCCACTCATGTAGCTTGTTGTGGTTAAATCCTCTTCCTGTTTCCTCTTCCTGTTTCCTCTTCCTGTTTCCTCTCCTGTAAACGTCACAGCATCACCTGGAGAACACGTTCAGGTGTATTTAAACACACAATACTTCATTTAAAAAGATCAGAAGATACTTCTAAACTTGTAATTTCCCCTTGTTGTGCATTCTGTGCTGCTGTACTTAGTTTCCAACAGGGGGCGCCGCAGCACTGACCGTCCATGCTGCTGTGTTTCAGGTATGGCTTCGAGGGCGTCATCTTGTCCATCTACGGGTTGGACAGAGAGGATCTGCACTGTGACGAGGACGACACCTGCCACTTCCAGAAGTCCGAGGCCATCCTGAAGGAGCTGGACATGCTGGACGCCAAACTCTACCTGGACTTCATCGTCCTCGCCGTCTTCTTCTTCTCCCTGAGGCTCACCGCCTACTTCGTGCTGCGCTACAAGATCAGCTCTGAGCGGTAGATCCTGAGAGTCGGCTCGGCTCGCTGTTAAAGGACGATGAAGAAGAAGAGACGAAGTGACGGAACGACGTCCGTCATAGAATCTGTCTCGTTCAGGTTCTGCAGAACCCGGAGCTGGTCTCCTGGTTCCTGCAGGTTCTATGGCGCCACAACCTGCATGTGGCAAGAACACAGCTTCTCAGAGATCAGAGTTCCCCAACATGAGTTTTTAAAGGTTCTCAGGACGTTTCTGTTGCTGTAGTTGAAGCTGAGGCTCACAGACTGTATCTCACTGCTGATCAATAAAGATCATTTCACATTTTACTGTCTGCAGTGTTTCTGAAGCTCCAGTTCTCTGCAGAACGTTCCTTTAATGTTTCGACCTGCTGTCAGAGAAATAGCTGGTCTTAACTGGTTCTCCAGAGGGCTCTCGACCTCTTAAAGCAAAACAAGACCAACTGAAGAATCACTTTAAGCAAGGGATGCTTCTTTACCTACTTTGTGTGGTTCCTAAAAGGTTCTGCATGTTTGCTGGACTTCTTTGGTTTGGTAGCGGCATGAAACCAGAGCTGCAGCGAAATAGTATTTTATTCTGGATAAATCATTTGATCAGTGAAACATCAGAAAACAGAGAGATGTTCACAGTTTCACAAAACTCAAACTGGCATCTTAGAACATGTTGTTCTGTCTGACCAACGGCCCAGAACTCAAAATGTTTTGTGTATTCTAAAGGAGGGAACCCAGAAATGCTGAACGTTTTCACATCAGACTTTTGGCACAGAAATGACTTTGATGACTATCAAGTCCTGTAATCAAAGAAGAACCAGGTGGGCTTCATAAAGACCTGTCTGTGAAATGGTTCCTAAAAGAACCTGTTTTAAAGTTGTCTGAAGGAACCATTTCTTGTGATTCTTTTAGGTTCCCTTGCTGGTTCTTGAAAGAACCTTTTGAAGGAATGGTTCCCTAAAGAACCTATTTTTGCTCAATTAATGCCTCAAAGTTGATTCAAGAAATATTTCCTCAAAAAATTCTTTAAACTAGTGCTTTACAGAACCATTTGAAGAAATCAGTAACAGCTAGAAGAAAAGGTGAACATTTTTACAATTTACAGATTTATTTGTTAAGTAAAGCACGG